TGGCTTTGATCGAAAATTCAAGAATATGTCTGACATCTTACAGAACAAATCAACATTTTTTTACAATAAGTGATCATCATGGGAGGCATTTGTTTTTTCCAGAAAATTCTTTCCAAAGGTTCATAATTTTTAAACAAAAGTTAGCCATACCAGAGGGTGCATAATTCCGAAAAAGCAAAAGGGTTCATAATTTTTTATATTTTTCGCGTTATTCCATAAGTTCATAATTCAGAAAATGAAAAGTTCATAATTCTGAAATGTAGTACCATTAGTGCATAATTCATAGAAATTTGTGGGAAGTGAAATTTGTTCTTGCATGAACTTATCATGAGTAAGATAATAACAACTCTACAAATAATAACAATAGTGATAATAATAATAATAAACAATAACAATGATAGTAATAACAACAATAATAATAATAATAATAATAATAATAATAATAATAATAATAATAATAATAGTAGTAGTAGTAGTGGTAATATAATATCGATAATAAATCTAGCTTAGTGTACATTCAAAATGTGCACATATCCATCCCAAAGGAAAGCTCATAGCACCTACAAAGTACTTTTTATCTTGGTTAACTTAGCCTATTTGGTGCAATTAATAAAATAAAATCGCATGTTTACCCTAAATATTGAATAAGAAGGAAATAAGGAGATGTAGGGGTTATATAGTGAAACACAGATGCCGCAGATTAATCATTTTCTTGAGTAATAGAATGAAAATTGTTTTTACACATTTTGGTTCCTATAAGTGAGTGACCTCTGTCTATGTAATTACATTATGTTTGATAACAGTTGCAAAACACTAATTAAAAGATGGCAGAATTTCTTGCCATTTCTATGAAAAAATTATTTAAGTGCACTTAAATACACTGTTGTCCATAAGGTTGGCGAAAGAAAAAAATTATTACCTCCTTTCATGAAATGATTGTGATAATTGGATTTATTCTCGATAGATAAAGGTTATATCTTGTCAGAACTTTATTGATCAATCTCTACGACTTTAGATCAATCAATATAGGTCTGATAAGAAATATACTTTATCTATTACGAATAAATCATTTTGTCACAATCATTTAATAAACAGATGTAAGAACAAAATATTCTGACCTTATGGGCAATAGTATACACATATAGGCACCATTATTAAGGAATAAAGTTAAAGTTTGGTCATAGATAGCACAGAAAATTAATCTAGATTACTTTGTTACCATAATGCCACAAGCAAGGCTACAACTGTTTGAGATAACTGATGAAACAATACCCTTATGACGTTTAAAAAAAAAACCCTCTTCTCCTTGTATAAATATAATGCAACGTTGCTAATATTGAACTTTTGTTTTAAGAAAAACAGAGACATCGGTCTATGTTCTACTTGTTCACTTGAACCTAACCCTGGGTCTAAAATCACATTTAACGAAAGAAATTCTTAGACCTCAGACTAACTTCTTATCTTAAACTCGACTTTGAACAAAAGCCTAGAGTCAGACTTAAATTGTAATACCGTAGAATACGGGCCAACAAGTACACTTAAATCTCAGGTTGGTCATGTAAAAAATCTCATTACTTTCCAAAACATTTCAACTTTAAATGCGTGCTTCTCATAAAGGAACTTTATATTTGGATAGCCAATATGGAAAGGAGAATATTGATAGCAAAATATAATAAGAACATGATTTTGATGGCATACATTCTGCCCATGGTTTTGATAGCAAATAATGAGAACATGATTTTGAAAGAGAATGTTGAAAGCATGATTTTTCACAAAAAAATACAGATAAAAACAATCAACTTCTAAGTGTTTGTTGTACCAAGACGATTTGGTCTACCATTTGATCTACAGCACTGCCACAAAGTACAAAACTAACAATGTTAACAAAAAATAACGAAATATTGAAGTTGTCTTTTTGGCACATGCCAAAGCTGACAACATAAAGGCACTTTAACATATGTACAAATAGTCTCCACCATCCTTGCATTTTAAAGAAAGCACTCAATTATAAATCCGCATATTAGTATTTTTGATGAAGGAACAAAGAAACACAATTACATATCTCAACATACATTACACATTACAACATTAATGTACATTTGAATGACAGAATAGGATGAGACCCGACAATATCTTACAGACTTTCACATACAGCTCAGGAATAGTTATTAAAAAGTGTCGCTTTCTCAAACATAACAATGATAGTGATAATATATATCCAAGAAAGTACAAATACTGCTACAATTGTGTGTATATATATCCAAGAAATTACAAATACTGCTACAATTGTGTGTATATATGATCAACTGGAATTAAAAAAAGCAGTGGAATATCTAAGATAGTTACAAGACAGAGACATATATTATCACTGCTGGGCTATTCAAGTTCAAATTGAACTTCTACGCTACATTGTACTTGCCTTTCTTTGCTAGATTACTGTTTTTTTGAAGGATATATCGGTAGGATGAATAGGAATGCTATCTCTTATTGACAAATTAAAGATACAGGAATGTGTGCTGCAAAACCGTCCAATAAAAAAACACTATTTCTCATCATTACTATAGTTACATGAATTTGAAACTTATTTTTGAGGCCTTAGGTCAGCTTCAAAATTCAATTACTTAAAGCTTATCTGTCGTAGTTTACAGGAGGGATTAGACCGTTCTGCAAGGTCACTGGACAGGTGGTTATCTCATCAACTCAACTCTCAGTTAAAGTCACTGAGTAGTCGGCTCTCATGGGGAATTCGACACCGTTCGGGTGTTTACCCAATAACAGGTGTTGTCAATCACCAGGGTTAGCCTTGAGTTTTATGACCATTGGACCTTATGTAATGCTTTGATTTGCCCGAAGACTCTCGAGCTCTCCGAGAGATTAGGGGGTAATTCTTGACTGGACTATGGGTTTGCTGTGTGCAAATTTGTACCCCCATTAATGGTATTTCCACCAAGTCTGGTGTCAGCGAATTATGGCCTTCTGCACATGGAAACTGGCGATCCAATCCCTTTAACATAAGAATAAGAGGATCATGGGGGACCAATGGTCACCGATTAGGCATTGTTTGTTATATAGAGGGCGCAAGTAACTACCAGTAGTGCAGTGGGCCTTTAAGAGTGAAAATGTGTAACATGATAACAAACTGCTTTCATTACATCAATTGGTTTTCTGGCCCATGACACCAATCTGCTCCGCCCCCCAACCCCGCCCCCCCCCCCCCCCCCCCCCCCTTGGCACCGCCCTGATACCTTGTATATATCGTAGTACATTGTCTCACTTACTCACTCCTTCCAGCTGTATACTGCGCTTTTACAAGTAGTCATTTCGAGGATATGAAAGTCCTTATATGATAAGTAAATCTACATAAGAAACTCTGTCCTGTCTATATACATATACTTCATATAGGAAGCTACACTTTCACCTGCCGAGTACAAACCATTGTGAAGGGAATTCCCAATTTAAGTATTTAATACATCCATATTGATATTATATAAAATATTTATTAGCTAATACTATATACACACCTATCGCTCTTCTAGTAATTTCTATATGTATGTTATTTTCTCTTTCCTTGTTTTCTCTTCTTGAATATCATTTCTATAAAAAAAAAAAAGATTGTGTAAGCAAAATCCAATCATTAGTAATTGTGACCTGTAATATGAGCTGCATTCTGTGTCTTTTCTACTCTACCACATGAAAACTGCCGGGATAAAAACGTGAAGTTCAAAAGACAACAACTTTGATAAGATAGTGCTGAAATGTTATGACGCAAGCTTAGCTTACAAGTGCTGTGTATATACCGGTATAATATGTGATTGAGGTTGATAACATATATATCAGAATTAAAACATCACTCGTGCATATAATGATTTAATTACATATTTTTTTTACTTATTTAGTGTCATGAGCAAACGTTTTGAAGATTTATGGCAGTTTATGATACAGCAGCAATTCAGAAACAAAATCCGAGAAATCGTAATTTCCAAGAATTACATCTCATCTTCCTTTGTTTTTAAGACAATCCTAACAAAATGTAAATTCATGCTTTGTCTAAAAAGAAGAGAAAAAGACAGAATAATAGGGCAGGTCCATGATATTTAATAATTGGTCTCCCAGATGTTATTGAGTACTATCATATTAGGAACAAAATTTGACATCAGGATTATTATTTTACTTTATAATTTGTCTACTCCGAGCAGTAGTAGGGCGTTTCGACAATACAATTATCAAGTAGCGATGTATACTGAAATCTTAGGTGAGATCAGAATTTCAAAAATGTTATGTATGGGACAAAAATAGCTTAGAGTTTCCTTATTACTGTTACATGTATCTTAAACATGCTTTTTACAAAAGCATACAATGAGAATTTTTTTTTGAAAGCCTAGCCCCTAAAATGATGCTAAAATCAATTAAAATGACTAAATGGGTTGAGATACAGAAACACATGGGAAAGATGTTCATGCGTGGGTATATAGTCGTTCGTGAAGTAGGCAACTCGGTGGTCACTCCCGATCACTACATAACACTGAGCCAATGGGTATTACGCTCCTGTGCGTATGTCTGTGTGCTGCCCTCTATAAACCCACCCTTGAGCAAATTTAAGGAGCTTGAGAACTTGCCTCCATTTTGCAAAACATTCTGCAAATTCTAGTAAACTTCTTTATGAAATCCTCTTTCAGGAGTATGATTCTACTCTTCTATTTTCCAGATTAAATTTAATATCGGACCAAACTATACATGCACAAAATTGAGAAAAGACAATTCCAATATCAAAGTTTGATTTAGTAATTCACAGATCTTGATAATTCACATGTGCATCCTTCACATACAGTATATGTAATATCAAACGAATGCAATATATATCCAATTACATACATGTAGCAAAAATCTGTGTACTTTCCACTGCTTTGGTTGTTGAAATACATACAGTACTTACAAAACACACACAAACATACTGGAAGACGATTACAGTTGCAAATAATATCAATACTTCTGTTTTTTTGTTTTTTTAATAGGCATGTACCACAGAATAACATTATTAAGCATAGAGTGGATACACCGCGATGGACTTTTTACAAAAAAATATAATCAAGAAAAAAAAGAGATAAATATTCATCAATGATTTCTAAATAATAAATTTAACGAGTTCCAACTGCTGCAAAGAAGAGCGTGCGAAACGATTCACTATCAGTTCTGGAGTTGGGCCGGCATTAGGAACGCGCCCTTCAGATGCTACACTTGGCTCATGCACGGTGGTTGGCAAATGGCAAGTGGGGGGTCGCGCACCACTCCCATAATACAACACACACCAATATCTGCAGCAGTGGGGACATGGATTATCTAGACTAAGACCTATCCGGCGCTCAGTCCGCTTCTCGGTAGTTCGGTTCCGTCGACACGAAGTAGTCGTCCAGGAAGGAGTGGAGGAATTCAAAGGTTGGCCTTTGCTGGGAGTCTTTATGCCAGCATTTCATCATGCACATGTCGTAGAGGGAATCTGGGCAGTTGTGGGGGCGCGGCATCCTGTAGCCTCTTTCTACCTGCTCTAAAACTTCCATGTTCATCATACCTGTTAAAGCAGAATTGGAATTCATTTAGAAGTAGAATTGGAAAAATTTGAAATATTGAAAATTAGAAAATGGACCCTGGAAAGTGAAAAATGGGCATTGGAGTTGGACATTATAAATTAAAAATAAGAATCGTAATGCTGTAGCCCCTCTGCACCCACCCTTACAATTCCATGTTTATAATACCTATGGAACAAAACAAATAGAATTCGAAATTGAGGATAGCAAATTGAATTCGGCATTCCGAAATTGTAAATTGGAATTTAATATGAGGTTCAGAATTGTTAAGATGGGGCACCCTGTAGCTTATTTTCACCTGTTCCAAAAATTCCATGTTTATCATACTTAAGCCATTGAAATTGTAATTTGAGTTGAATTGGAACTGGAAATTGGAAATTGGAAAATTGAAAAATTTACTGGAAATTAAGGAAATTGGAAAATGTGTCAATTATGATATTTGGATATTATAAAATTGGAAATTCAAATTGGAAATAGGAATTTGAGGTTGAAGTTGGAAATTGGAAGTTGGAGGTAAGACGGGATGAGGGTTCTATGACACATGCAACAATTGCTTCATGGTAAACTTCACCAATGTACCACAGTGCTCCCAACATAAACAGGACTGGATTGCATTTCCTGGTAATGCAACATTGACATAACCTTCAAAAGAGCTGCCCGATAAGCTACTGACCTGGATAAGGAATACGACCATAGGTGATAAGCTCGGTTAGCAGAATACCGAAAGACCAGACGTCAGATTTAATCGTGAATCGACCGTAGAGGGCAGCTTCTGGTGATGTCCACTTGATTGGGAACTTGGCACCTACAGAAATGAAGGAAAAAAAAAACAAGAAGGACACATGTCAGCAAAGCCATCAACATAAGAGAAGACTGCAGGAAGCCAATATCCAATCCAATAAAAAATAGTATTAGGTAAAATACATGTAGTTTTTTCCTTGCAGTTACGATTTGCTCCACACTGTTTTGATTTCTATCCATTTCAAAAAGTCTAGTTTTGTTATTTTATTTATTAATTCACGGTATAAATGATGACCTCAATTTTCAAAAGGTTAATTGAACGTCTGGAGGAAATACCTGCATGATACAGTCCTCTTGGTATTTGAGAATGCATTATCATTTTAAAGCGACTATCATAAATCTGAAAATATGTGTTTAAAAAAATCAATCCAAAAGGTTTACTGAATCAAGATTTAATGGACAGGAGCAAAGGATGAAATATTTCTGACTTGAGTAATGAAGTAAATACCAGCCGAAGGCCCTAGAAATTATTACAAATACATAGATAAATAGGACTGCGGGGGGGGGGGGGGGGGGGGGGGGATGTTTCAGAAAGACTAAGATCAACTTAAGTTGGACTTGAACTATGGCAAGCGATTTATGCCCTTATAAAGTCTTGAACCGGATGTAAAATTAGAGGAAACAACCTTAGAAATCATCTCTAGATAATGCTTTTCCTTCAATAATTGAGTATCCAAAAATGTGAATTCTGTAGATTTGTTAGTGACGTCCATTGAGAGACCAATAGTGAGGGCAACCAGTGGCATGAATGCCCTGCCATAGTTCATGTCCAACTTAAGTCGATCTTAGAGGCTGTTCACACCGGCAGAGATAGCGCGTGCTAGACCGCGCTATCTCTGCGGTGTGGGAGGTACAACGTCGTTTTGGTCTGCCCAACAGCGAGCCACGGCGAGCCTAAAACGGCGTGCCACTGGAGCACCTCTTGGGGGTGGTCCACGAGAGATAGCGCGGTCTAGCGTGCGCTAGAAAAAAGGGGGTGCTACGATAGACTGCGCTATTTCATTGCGGTGTGAACAGCCTCTTAGAGCCCCACTGCACTGCTCCTTGCTCCTCTATATAGAAAACTGCCTAAGCGGTGCCCGTTGGTCCCCCATGATCCCCTTTTTCTTATGTTAATTGAGAGCTGAGCTGATGAGATTACCACCTGTCAGTGACCAGCAGGGTGGTCTAATCCCTCTTTGCCAAACTAGTACAGACGGGCTTTAATCTTTGTGAAACACCCCCCCTGGTAATGACAAGAAAGAAATGAAAAATTGCTTGCCTTGTCTGGCGCAGTATTCATCATCCTGGATCATTCTGGCCAGACCAAAGTCAGCCACCTTGCAGATGTTACCGGTGTTCACCAAGACGTTCCTTGCAGCGAGATCCCTATGAACGTAGTTCTTCCTCTCTAGATACCCCATGCCACTGGCAACCTACACATGGGTCAAAGGTCAAACATAGGACAATAACTGTTTATGACATGGGTTAAAAACTACAAATAAATCAGTTTTTCTCTTCTCGATGAAAAAGAAGGAAAAAAAAATTCTTTGCAACACCTTTTTACGCCTCACAGCATGTACATTTTGCCATATTTCCATTGAAAACATTGGCAGACTTGCTATTAAATGAACATACAACTCTTGATAGTGATGGACAATTTGAATTGATAGGGGAAATAATGATGCAGCTTTTGTGTATGAGTTGCCAATTTGAAGATCTGAATGCTGCGATGCATAACTTTCCTATAGTAATGATATGCAATAATCAATATCGGAGCAGCATTGGAAATATAATGAATATGCATCTATTCTCCATCATTCTAAACTAAATTAACGAAACTTTGACAAAACAATTACGTGTATCTCTATGGAAAGGTCCAGTTCCTATGAACACCACATTTTTAGTTCCATTGAACAGTATTTTTTTATATTTCAAACCACAACTAAACGTAGCTTGATATAAAGACCCAATGCCTATAGAAAACTCAAATTTCTTGTCTCCCTCAAGTGATTTTCGTCTACACAGTCACTCCATTACATGAAGTAAAGTCCTTATCTTATGTTTCCCTCACCCAAAGATTCTCAGAGAGACTAGGGGGTATTTCTTGCTGGGACAACAGGTTTGGCTAGTGCAGACTTGTACACTCCTTAATGGTTTTCACCACATCTGGTGTCAGCGAATTATGGCCTTCTGCACATGGAAACTGACGACCCTCTCCCTTTAAATGACAAGATGACATACCTGTGCTCCCATATCTACAAGCTGTGGTAGTTTGAGATGTCGACCATCTCCGTCTTTAAGGTAATCCAGAAGGCTACCATGTTTCATCAGCTCTGTCACAATGTAGATAGGTTCCTAGAGGGTTGATAAAAAACAAGTTAAGATATCTCATCTATTAAAGAGAAAGTTGAGCTCTGGGAAGAGGTGACAAATAATTTGTGAGCCTTATCATTGTTATTATGCAAGTGTGAAAGAACATTAGATAAACCATGTTCCCTGAAAAGCATGGCTCTTCAAATGCCTTCATATTCTAAATATGACATGAAACATCGTAAAATCCGGGGTAGGTTTTTTTGCAATGTGCTCGGGTAGTCCCATATACATCATTCTGTGTACAGTGCTTGTAACTTTGCCAAGATTTGGCTAAATATCTAATATCATTTTGATGATTCCAGAACCTTGCAATACACACAAATACTTATATGCTAGATGATCTACCTTTTCTGATAGACTCCACACCGTTTCTTTCACAATGCAATCACATGACCAGAACTCAACTTCATCTTTAATTGTACACTTAGTTTAGGAATAACATGGTATTGACTGCCTCAAAAAAACAGCCATGGCATGATAATATTTTTTGGATTTGCAAAGCAAAGACATATTTTGTATGCTTTTAAAAAGAAATTCTTGGAAGAAAGGGAATCTATGGCTTAAAACATTAGTTTGGAGCCAAACATGTAAGGATAATTCCTCCTAATTAAGAAAGGTTGGCAGTGTTGGTACAAGTAGTCCCATATGCAAACATGTGTGTGCAGTTTTGTAAACTTACCCTATCTGAGCAGACTGCATAGAGCTGTACCAGGTTTTCATGTCGACACGTCTTCATGATGTTAGCTTCGGCGAGGAAGGCAGCGGGGGTCATAGTCTTCGGTCTTAGGGTCTTGACGGCCACCTCCGTATTACCGTTCCAAAGACCTGAAGCAAGTAAGATAATAATTAGAGATGAATAACTATCTTTTAATTCCCATCATATTCGTGTAGAATAGTTGTTAGATGCAGAGTCAAACAGTAACATTTGTGTGATTTCATGCACTTATCAAATATTGCAATCTTTGTGAAATCAATAGTTTCACAAGTACCAATATGCAAATTAAATTCTATTATTTGAGGGTTAGGAGAATGGAAGATGATGTAAACAATTGAAATCTAGAACTCTAGTTACCTTTCCACACTTCCCCAAACTGTCCTGAGCCAAGCTTGGCGTCTAGTTTGAGTGATTCTCTGGGAATCTCCCACATGTCCTTCCCAAGACCAGCGGTGATTGGGTTCTCCTTAGGACAAGGCACAGACAACGAACAGCACAGTCCATCAGCGGATTCTATATGGTCAACAAAAAGAAACACAGTATTTGAGAGGTCTATCTATCTACATGAATATCACGCACGCCAGGTATTCCCCACTCCTGACGACGGATAGTGAACATGTTCGACACGTCGAGCCACTGCTACTGCCCATCCTCTCCAATCGGCGCTATAGTTCTCCTTAGAACTATAAGCTAAGAAAGATAACCAACAGTCTTTTTCAAGAATACCAACAGTTCTTTTCAGGACTTTTCAATCCTCCCTCTCTCTCACATGGTGCAATCGCAAGCCTACTGTATATCTACATGTACATGTACATCACCATGCAAGCCAATACGTATAAGCAGCATCTATGTATATATATATATATATATATATATCCATCCATCTGTCTAGTTGATGCTCTAGAGACCTCCCACATGTTCTTTCCGAGAACAGCACCACTTGGGTTCTCCTTAGGACGAGGATGAGTCAATGCGCAGCAGTCCATCAGTAGATTCTTCACTTTCAAAAAATAGAAAGGATTACTAGATCTATTACTAGATCAATCTGTCTATCTACATGTATCTACATTGTATCTACCTATCTATCTATTTCAGACCTGCCAACCTCTGGAGTTCAAAAACTGTATTCTTTAGTGTCAAAAGTTGTATTCTTAAAAAAAATAAACACGGAATGTTACGCGGATCAATGCCTCTTACAGTTTCTACCTACAGGAAGAATTTTTTTTATTGATCATTGGTTGAATATGCATTATTTCGTCACGACTTGTGTGTTCGACGAACCAATAAACATCCCCAAATTGCCGATGTGAGATACTTGTAGGATACTTTACAGGACAGAATAGACATTTTGCCATTGAAAATGGCGGACGCACACACAAAATATTAATTTTTAAAAAAAAATTTTTTTTAAAAAATCTTCTTTTTTTTTTTTTTTTGAAAATCGTATTTTATTAAGGAAAATCGTACTGTCGTATTTGCTTCTAAAAAACGTACTAAATACGACTAAATCGTTCTGGTTGGCAGGTCTGCTATTTGTCCTTTGATACTCTTCCACAATGTCATACATGTACATAACATGATACAAAGCTTTGTGTTCTCCATCTCCAACACACGTCAACCTTCTTTTTAAGAGCTGTGTACATGAGAAGGAATGTATCAATGTATTCAAAAGTACCCAGAAGGACAATCCTCTAAATGAAAGTAAACAATAGGAATCTATTGCCGGTAAGTATCCTCAACAACTCTTGAAAGAACACAATATCTCTATAGAATTACATCTCGCTACCCACAAACTTTCATTTCATTCGAACTTGAAAGAAAAAAGGATTAAAACTTTCAATGCAGCACGTATACATGTATGCAGAGTTGTGGATAACGTATGTCTCATAAGAATGGTACACAGGTGTACCAAGGAAAGAAATTAATGACAGCATCTATAATTTTACTTTCAGTATCACTTAAAACAAATGACCTGTTTTTAAAGGGGAAGTCTACTCTGATGTTTAATACATGTAATTGTTTTCCTATAAAGGAGAAAAATTGTAGAAATGGACCAGAGAAAGATTGGGGAAAATACACAGAATTGTGAGAGAAAAGCAATGAACTTTTAAAGTTGTGATTGGTCACACTCAAATTGGCAACTCTGTGATTACCCATGTGAGTTGATTTTAAAGGAGAAGTGATGTGAAGTTATTTACAAAATAACCTAAGAAATAGATAACGGTAAGTAAAAGTTTAAGATATGTCCTACAAAATGTTTTCATTTGAATAATATTTGAAATCATGAATTATGTACTTAATTTTGATCTTTTTAAATTTTTAACTGATCGCACAAGATTGGCAAATCAGTGATAACCCATTAGAGTCAATTTTGAAGAAAAAATTATGTGATGTTGTAGTAAAAATGACCTAAGAAATAAATCAGTAAAAGATTTTAAATATGTCTTACAAAATGTTTTCTTTGAAATCATATTTAAAATAATGAATAATGCAATTAATTTAAGTGTCAATTTTAAAGGAAACGTGATGTGAAGTTGTTAAAAAAAATAACCTAAGAAATAGATCAGTAAAAGTTTTAGATATATATGTTCTAAAGAATGTTTTCATTTAATTACTTTTGAAATCTATTCGTTCAATATTTAGTTCTTAAGGTTGGATTGATCACAGAAGATTGGTAACTCTGTGACTATACCATTAGATCATGTTTCTTTCTACACATAATGACATGAATATTACGAAAGGAAATTAACAATGCAATTAATTTCCATCTAATTTCAATCCGTCCTTGACTGATCAGTGCGTTTATCTTCATCACCTTGAAGCAGCACTTACACTGGAAGAAGAAGAAGAATGTTACCATACAAATACACTCTAGCAACAACCTATAACACAGACCATTAGACTCATCAATCTTAATGATTACATTTTTTGTTGTTGGTTACTCACGTTCGTAATGGTGTACAAGCTCGAGCAATGTCTGGAACTGGCTTCGTTGTGTGATGTAATACCCAGAATCATTGTCCAGCTTCCTGATACGGTAATGCTTGATGTGCTCTCCTTTACCAGGGTCGTGGTCTCGCACCGAGAGAGAAAATGTACCTGAAGAGAGATCGGAAATATTTTGTAAAACGTGGAAGCAACGCATGTGTTAATTATGTATTTGTTGCTTTATATGTACATATCGTCACCAGAATGTAACAATAGATTACACAATCACAGCTTCCTGTACTTCACAACACAACAATAGAAATTAAATTAATGGGCAGGTCCAAGCTATTTGCTTTGTGACGTACGGGACATTCAGAGACTTTAAACAAGAAATAACAATGGATGACATTATTTATATGGCTATCTTTTGGTATGAGTCTGTGGCTATTTTGGGCTAGTTCATTTGTGGAAAGTTTTAGTTCTGACCAATTCATAAATTATTTTTTAATGTAATTAATGTGCTGCGTGACGTACGGGACCAGAGAATTTCTGACTTTTTCAAAAATAAGTTCATCATAAAAGTTCTCTGAATTAATTTAGTTATGAGATTTATGGTAATGATATCTTCATTCATTATGGAATCAAGCACTAATCACAACTATTACCATATTTTTCTGACCTTTCATTGTTATGTAATATACCAAAACATAAATGTGTGTATGTGACGTACGGGACATGTGACGTACGGGACAACTTTTCCCTATGGGAAAATGCATTGAAATGGAGAATTTTCGTCAAAATTTGTTAAATGTGAACAATTTTAACTTAAATCAGTGACAATTAGAGTGTTTTAGAACCCAATAAGATCCTCTGACCATCACTCAATATCCTCTGTGTTAATTTATGAGGTAAATCAATACAAATATTACTGTAACAAAGAAAACAAATTGATTATTATTATTATTATTATTATTATTTACATTGATACACACTATATTACCATTTTTATTCCATTTACCCATCTATCATGAGCAGTCATGCTTCTTTTCTCATTTCTTTTATCCATTCCATTCAACATTGCAAAATGTTTTTAAATAATAATTAATGAAGAAGATGAACTTGAACTTGAAAACTTTTATTTAAACTTGTTTGAAACACAGGGGCACACTCGGCACATCATATTTTGTCAAAGAATATTTCTCATGCTCTTAAGTGTTGGTGAACAGAGATACATTACAAATATGAAGTCTTTTCTTCATAGCTTGTTTGAATTACTTGATAGTAATATCATAGAATTTTGAAGGAATTCAAAGATAATGCTGAACATATTGTCTTTTTAAAAATCTTTTTATCACAGATTAGAACATGTATATGTTGCTGTCATATATTCAAGAATTTTGATGTACATTAATGTAGCCTAAATGTTTGTGAAAGATGGATACAAAAATATAAATCTTGAACGTATTTTGTATTGATTAAAGACATGTTATTAACACCACCAGATATAAGAAATTAAAACCCTCAAGGTTTGTGTGACCTTTTCCACAATTCAAAAGATTAAGGCGAAATCAGCAAAAATGCATGGGTGTTGAAGTGATAAAAATCGTAAGTGGGTGAGAGTGTGAAATACTCAAAAAGGCTATCCTTCTTTAAAAGTTATGATTTAGTTTTTAGGAGATCAGAATTTCCGAGCTGGCTCCATAACATGTACAGTGTATGCTGTAATCCTTTACCATCATGACATTTAAATTAAAAAAAACCCACATGGAGAGCTTGATACCATACATGTGCTATTAATACCTGCAGCATCTATGAGTTGTAAAAGCCAGCTTCTGGTGCATCTACTACCATATAATTTCATTAGACTCATTCCAGGAACTACCCGGTAGTACACTATTATGATTTACATATAGCATCCTGCCAATGTTGGGGACATCAACTGGCAAAATACCAAAGTTGATAATACCAGGGGTCTGGCTTGAAGACTAATTACATCAAATTCAGTACAAATAAGTAAATTCCTACAAGGGACCCAGTTGGAATGTTCATATATCCCTATATACAACAAGTTTCCTAACACAGTATGTATTCTCCTTTTGGTCATTTCCTTTTTCACATCTTGCATTGGTTTTATATGGGGTTGTCCCGTACGTCACACACTTGTCCCGTACGTCACATTTCTTAATTTGATTATGTAATCAACACAGAATTTTTTAAATTTTTGTTAAACCTATTTTTTGTTAGGTATTCATCTAAATTAGAACTTCCTAGAATATCTTTAAAAAAAAAAATATTTTCATAATTAAAATTAAACAAATTATGATCAATTTGTGACGTACGGGACATCACACTTTGGAACCTACCTCATTTGCATAATTAATTAATTTTGAAAGTTTTTATATTTTTTTCCTATTTTCTAGCATGATGGTCTACATGTCCTGAGATATTTAATTTAAAAAAAATAATTCAAATGAGATACAAAAATAAAAATGTAATGTCCCGTACGTCACGCTAATTAATAAAAATCGAAGTTTGTGACCTTGGCATTCTTTGTATTTTCATTTTTTTCATTTTTTTTTATCAGATTCATAAAATTCATAGTTTCAGCTTTAAAATGAGGTATAGTTTGTTACATATATATAAAAATGAAATTTGACCCCCAGAGGGGACAATAGCTTGGACCTGCCCTAATACAAAACAAAATAATAACATATCGGTGCCAAACATGGTCGTGTGTATATGGGGGGGGGGGGTATTTGTCAGTATGAACGGGCCCCCCCCCCCTCGCCCACTTTCCCCCTTGTTCCTCCTTCCATACCCTACTTTCCTTGCAAAAAATGCAAGGCACTTGTTCTTTGTATAATTGTAGCTTTATACATGTAGATATAGTTTATTGAGACAACGAACATCTGAGAGAAAACATGGATATTTCTTAAAGGCATCGTTTAACAATGTTAAATCTGAGATGCATGGCCCTATGTGTTATCAGCGTCCGTGATATGGTGTAATATTGAAGTCCTAAAAAAAAATGTGCTTCAAAATGATCATGAGGTGCCTCAAAAAAGTACAAATCTTAGAGTGACTGGTTTTACCATACTCATTTTCCCCAATAGACTGAAGTGTTGTAAAAACCGTTAGGAAAACAAATTGTGAAATTTCGATTTTCAATCATAAATATCTTGATAATCAGACAGGCAATCGGATTGTTAAAGTCACGGGGTTCCTGAGTGACCTAAAGGTTTATAATTATCATTGCAGCATGAGCTAAATCCAGGATTTTGTATCAGAATCATACAAACATACCCAATCCCTTTTAAGAGAAGGTTGAGTTCTGGGAAGAGGTGAAAAATCATTTGTGAGCGTTATCATTCTTATTATGCAAGTGTGGAAGAACATCAGATAAGACATGTTCCCTGAAAAGCATGGCTCTTCAAATGCCTTCATATCCTAAATATGTCATGTAACATCGTAAAAATCCAGGGTAGGATTTTTACGCCACATGTTTGTGTAGTCCCATATACATCTTTCTGTGTAGACTTGGCTAAATTTCTTATCATTTTGATGATTCCATAACCTTGCAATACACACAAATTCTTATATGCTAGATGATCAACCTTTTCTGGTCGATTCCACACCGTTTCTTTCACAATGCAATCGCATGACCAGAACTCAACTCTTTAATCTCACAGACAAGAGCGAAAAGGGAAAGGGGAAACTATCACCTAACCTAGGATCTGGAAAACAGAGCAATGAATAACGAGGAAAGACAGAGTATTTCCTTGTAGTAAGCCCTCAATCAACAGGGTTAGTCTTTCAAATCCACTTTTCTATCTTCATTTCATATCCTCATCTTCTACTTACCTCAAAACTTCACTCTTCTATTTTATTTCTATCTCCTTTTCTTCCACTCGCTAGGGCTAACCTTTGACATTCGCTATTCTTTACATCTTATTTCAATATCCTCTTCTTCCACTCTCCAAAGTTAGACTTCAAAATTCATCTCTCTATCTTCTTCCCATCTATCTTCCTTCTGTCTTTCTTTTATCTATCTTCTTTCTATTTTGATGATATATGTCTTTCCATTCTTCCATTAGCAAAGTTAGTCTTTCGATTTTACACTGGAATTTATCTACATTCATGATCTTTAAGCAACCTTTTATCTAAAATCTTCATTCAACCTTCCCTCTATCTTCTTTCCTTCTCTTAATCTTCCACTCACCAGGGTTTGCCTCTCCATCTCTCACGATGAAGGTTCCTTTCTGGAGCCCAGGAGCCAGCAGCTTCTTCTCTGCATCCTTACGCCCTACCTTACCATAGTACCAGCTGAAATAGAAAAGAAAAAAAAAGAACATTTCATAAAATATTAATACTGACTCTTTCACATTAACCATATACAGTGTACATGTACATGTATGACCCTGTAAACATCACCAATTAGAGCATATTACGATCAGTCAAAGTAGAAAAATGCTCTCTCCATCTCTCACAATTCAGTTGCCTTTCTTGAGATCAGGGGGGGCATTTCACAAAACTTGTCTTCAGTGACAAAGACAGTTTGTGTTATAAGCTACTGAAATCCTTGCTTCTGATTGGTTATCAGCAGATTTGTCATTGATTTTTGTCATTTGTCATTGAAAAAAGGCTTTGTGAAACGGGTCCCTGGAGCAAGCAGCTTCTTCGCTGAATCCTTACGACCTACCTTACCAAAGAACCAACTGGAAAAGGAGAGCAGGAAAGAAAAATCAGATATAATAGTATTGGCGTGTTCACATACATTGCATAGCACAGTGAACACCCCCCCCCCCCCCCATACGCAAGTGCTACCCGCCCGTGTCCATTAACCTCTGAAATGGACCCTAATGGTATATTGCATTTTTTCTGAAATGACCCTAATGGCGTATGTATCCTGTGTACCTTTTTTTTAACCACAGTATTTGGAAAGTATTTGGAGAAGTGTCTAATGTACTACAGAGAATCGTTATTTCTCGAAATCTGAATTTTAGAATTTAGAGTAGTGTATAAACATTCTTTTGAAATCAATAGTAATATATGCATGTTAATACGTCTACTATGTTATGTACACTGTTTTGTTATTGTTATATCATTTAAAGGCAATTATTGGAACTTGTATGTATCTTTTAATAACAGGGACTACCTCGACAGAACCTTACAGTTTCATTTGCAGTTTCCCCAATTCGTTTCTATTGATTAACTTTATATAATTCTGGTATATTTGTAAACATGTTTCCATTTTGTGTGTGTTCTCTGTTTTATATACACTGTATAGTATATAATCTGAATTTTATTCCTTCATAAAATGTGTTTTTATGGATTTGAATTGAAATAAAACTTGAACTTACTTAAACTTTATTTCTTTTATCAAAAATTGACTTTCGAAAGCATGAGTTGCAACTTCCTGATACAGCAAGGGAAAGGTAAAATTTCTATCATTTTTATGTACATTGTATGTAAGAAAAAAAGCAATGGCAATAGCTTTCCTAGAGAAAAACTTTACCCCTTGGTTAAAATTACAACAGCAATATTTCTTGGAATTACTGGGAGGCACTGCAGCATTCCTCAAAAAGTGAAACCTAGAGAATAAGAGTGACAGTGAAATAAGGAAATCATTCATCATAAAGCCAGGAAACTTGTGAAGTGTATTTAATAAAGCACTTACATCAAGCTGCGACATACAATCTATGTTTTTAGCTCTTCAAAGGGAAATCATGACAGGAAATACTCGAGGAGTAAACCAAACACTAGCGTTCGCTAAAATATCTTTGAAACGGTAAAGTCTAAGAATATAATCCCAGCCAGATGGGATTTAATGGACAAACACATAAAATTTCCCTGTTTTCAAAGGAACAAAGTAGGGCAACATACATGCACATAGTTTCCTCCTACATGAATGTGTATTTTAGCTTTGTACATTTCTTTTTTATGTATACAAAATTGTTCAAATTGCATTTCCTTTTTATACCGAGTCTCTTTATCACTTAATGAATATACCTAACGTTCTGCTTTGAAACTGCCATGCCTATTATAAAACATAATGACAATTTACTGTTCTATGTGCAAATTACTTCAATGTATTTCTGTTGCATGCACAATGAATTCTGAGCTCCCAAGAATGCTCCCCCTAGTCAGAAGGGAAGACCTACTGAATGGCTTTTTCTCTTCCAGGCAGTTAGGGGAAACACCCTTGCGAATGAATAAGTATTCATTGTGTTCTTTTCATTTGTTATAATTATGTTTTCATTTTATGTATGTTGTATGTTTGACTTGTATGAAATTACCAAATAGTTAATAATAATAATTATCATTATAATTTGCAATGATCTTGAAGTGTTACTGCGACTGTCCTTTTAAATCAGATTCAGGCCGCCGGCCACTATAGGTTTTCCCGGCCAATTTCGTAAAAGCAGCAATCAATTTCATTAACGTGCATTTCTGTTTGAGCAAAATTTCTCCACTCGTTGCTCCCCTGTTTCATTTTTAAACTTGTTGCATTCAATTTCGTTTCAAGTCACCGAATTTTCTAAACATGCACATTCGAATTAATGCTTGGTTCAGTCAATTTGGAAATGCGTAAGGGTCATTCAAGTTCGCCAATGTTGAGTGGGAGGTGAATTCTTTGGCATATTGCGGTTTCATTTTCGTCTATGGGCAACCTCTTTCGCAATCGGGTCATTCAAATTAAAACTAGACCTCATAATCATAGTATGAGGCTCGATGTTCATTCGGATATTCAGTATTTCATGTTCATTTATTTATTCTTTTTCTCTATGATCTTTTCTGATATGATTTCACACTTTTTTATACAATCTTCTTATTATTTTGTATGATATATTTATATTGCATTATTTTCTTTCTTTCGACATTCTTTATTTTTGTTGAAACATTACTTGATTCATATCTTCATATTTTTCATTATAAATGCTTAAGGGGTTATATTTTAAATGGTTTGTTTTGATCAATCTTGATTGAGTAGGTGATCTTTCTTTCTTTTCATTTAACATCTTTTTCTTTATTCATCATTGTATTATGTTTGCATCATGTCCATGTATATTAAACCTGAACTACCTCTGTCCAAGATCTTGTGCTTAGAAGAGAAGTCACAAATTATGCACCTTCTCTGGGGACAGTTACCTGTGTAATTACAGAACGAATACGCATGCCATTCCTCCAAGTAAACTTTGCATAAAATTATTCAAACAGAAGTATATTAAGTGACAAATTAACAACAAATTGAAAGCAATGCACAAATGTCACAAATGTATGCCTAATCACGAAATTGAATGAACGAAGACATACCGACGTCTGTCCCGCGCGAATTTGAATGGTCTTTACACGCTTTTCTAAATTGAATGCTCGTTTTGCACGTCTCCGTGACAAGAGTATGAAAGCGCATGCTACTAAATTAAATTGAATGACGCAATTAGCTTTTTGAATGTTGATCTATATAGTCATTCAATTTCGCACGAACTTGAATGAACGTAACGTTAATTTGGATGCTAAGTTTACGAGGTTGGGCGGGAAAACCTATATTAAAAAAACTAAATATTCAGTTTTTTATGTTTAGGTACTACATGTAATCAAAACAAATGAGACAATTTCAAATGAAATAAATCCCCATTATTGAAGCTTTTCTGGGAATTTTTACTGAAGGCTTGTCCACATACTGTAGGATGTGGAAAAAATATGGCAGGTTTTTTTTTTTACATGCACACGAATGGTGAGCGGTAGTGAGAAAAATCTATCTGCTGGCAATGATTGTCTTAAGCAATGTACGCATACTCCCTTATTTGTGTCTTATCAGAAATGTGTAATGCGTTACATTTTTATTGCCCCATCTTTGTACTTTTCATGAGGTGCAAGGTCTGCAATTCCATAGCAACAATGTTTAATGATAGTGTACATGTAACTAAGGAGAAAGTTCATGACTGAATTTTGTTTTACTCTTTCTACACCTGTACATGTACACCACCAAAACTTATCTGTCCCTTTAATAGCCAACAATTTTTTGACAGAATACCAAGAATCAGTATTTCCCCTTTTGTTTCTTCAAATGATCCACCTACACATTTTTTACTTGCCACTGATTTACACATAAAAGGGGTTTTCCTGTTTTTAGTGCAGTACTTTTTGAAGGAAGTTGACTGACTTTTTCATGTGAAAACAAATCTTTGGTAACCTGGCTTTTCAATTAAACATACATACTTATTAACATCGACCAATGTCAGGAAGTTCTTTGTAGTGTCCGGCCCGTTTATGCTGGTCATATTGCAACTAACTACAGGATTTCATGAAAATGACCCCTAAAGTTCATCTCTGCCGGCTTTTCTTGAAACTTTTAATATTATTAGGCCATCTAAAATTAAATCCTATTTCCTTGACGGTATTTATTAATTAATTTTTTGAATGACAGACTTTCAATGACATTCAATATTTGATAAATTCCCCTGCACATACATATCCCATAGGACACCTGGAGAGTAGCAATTAACTGAAAATACATTTTCCTTCTTTGAGAGTATTTTCTGCTGCAAAATTCAGAAATCAAAGGTCTGACAGTGAGTGATTTCAAGTTGGGTGTTAGTGTTACATGTAGTGTTAGTGTTAAGAGCAGTCAAGAGCTCTTAAATTGATCGAAAAATTTGCTGATGAAATTAAGAGCCCGATACCGATATCAAAATTGATAGCTTAACACCAGCTGTGACGTCACCACATACTTGATTTCACGACGATGATTTAAAAATAGTACATAAAAACTAAACATATCATGAAAATAACAGAATAAATATGAACCTATTTTTCTGGTCTTTTAAAATAACTCATTTTACACAAAATAATATAAGAATTACCTGTTTCACCGTTTTGTATTTGATCGTCAGACAATAAATTAGCGTCGTTCGTGCAATGACTGTTGTGCGGTACAACACTAACACTGAACTGGAAATCAACATTTGCTTAATCCCTAGGGGCTAGTGTTAGTGAATAGGACATTTGTACGTAAAATATTAACACCAGCCACAAAGGTCGGTTCAGCAAACGACAATTTTGCAAAATCGATAACACTAGCTACCGGAAGTTGACGACATTCAGAGGTCAAAGCCTTAACACCAGCTGATTTCCATTTCGGTGTTTAGGCTGGTGTTAGTGTTTATTAAACACTAACACCAGCCTTAAACACCCAACTTGAAATCACTCAGTGTATTCTACTATAACTTCAAGCTGATGCTAAATTAAAGCTAAATGTAAGTCTAAAGATGAGTTTAAGAAAGAAGTTTTAAAAACCGAGATCTAGTTTTTCTCCCATTCGTATATAATATCTTAGCTTTAATTCCTGCATCAGGTTGGATAAGTAGAATATGACCGAAAAATGTAATCTGTTTCTGTTCTTTACTACAGTCAAACCTGTCTATAGCGACCACCCAAGGGAAACACAAAAAGTGGTCTATGAAGACAGGTTGTCTTTGTAGACAGGTTCCTTTAGTACATGTTTCAATGAGAAACCATTTTCAAGGGAAACAACAAATGCGGCCCTTGTAGACAGGTGGTCTTTGTAGACAGGTGGTCACTAGAGCAGGTTTGACTGTATTTCATACAAGAAATACATGTAGGCTACTTACTCTTCTGCGTCAATACTCTTGACATGAGCAATGTAGTTGCTTGGGATGTATCCTTCCTTGTTTGTCACCGGTGATCTCGCTAACCACCAATCTCCATCTCTGTAAACATGGAAAAAGAAAGAAGGAAATATACAAAAATAGTAATAAAAATTCTTGTAAATGCAACATATATTTAAAGGTAATAGGTAACTTTATAATAATAATAATAATATTTTTGCTTAACATATGGTGCTTAATATGTTGGCAATGTCCAAGTTTCTAAGCACTTCAAATTATTACCTTTGCCTCAGATTCTAAACAAAATCCTGGATTTAGCTCATGCTGCAATCATAATTATAAACCTTTAGGTCAGAAATGAATCCCATGACTTTTACAAGCCAATCGCATGTTTGATTATTAAGATATTCATGATAGGGATTTTTAATTTCACTCAAAGATTTTTACTTTTTGAAGCACTTCATGATCATTTTGAAGCAGAGTTATGTTAGGGATTCAATATTACACCATATCACAGACACTGATTTCATGTAGGGCCACACATCTCAGATTTGTAAAACTGGAAACATTGTTAAACAATGCCTTTAAAATGTTTTGACACAGAACATAATAATCACAAGAAATTTATACCCCAGTCACACGAACAAGACTGACACCAGGGGGGTGTTTCACAAAGATCCTAAGTAGAACTTAACTCTAAGTTGGACTTAAAAATTATGGACAGCCATTGGAGTCTTTAAATGAAATATATTCAAAAGCAGAAATTCAAGTATTTTAGACTTTTTATTAATTCCACATCCAGAACATGAAATCTCCTTAATGATAGAACATATGAATGATTTCAATAAACAATGAATGCCTTTCAAAATAACTTTTACAAAATATTTTCAAAGATGCTAATGGCTTTCCATATTTTTTAAGTCCAACTTAGAGATAAGTTCAACTTAGGATCTTTGTGAAACACCCCCCTGGTCAACGACAGACAGACCGTACAACAAGTTACACTACCCATGGAGTGAATATCAGCTGTCAGTTCCCACTGCTGCAGAGTTGGTTTGGCGGTTTAACTTCTAAATGTGTTATTTTAAGAATCCACCTTCAATTGCAGTAAATGTAGGTGTGCTTTTGTCCACACCAAAACTAAGTTTTCTTTTAAGGTTACTGGGTGAAGCATAAACTTAAAATTAATTGTAAAATATAAGAATCATACATGTTCCCACATTAAAACAGAACTTGTACAAAAATGGAAAAAATCTGTATTTGATGATTACAATGGGTACTTTGTTCCTGATTTTTTTGCCGGCCTGCTACGGAACTGTGTCAACACGACACCGGCCAAGTACATGTACATCCTGGTTGGGGCCCTATCAATTAGTTTGCAGGCACAAACCCATGGCAGTCATAATATGTGACCAAGCGTCTGAAAATCTAGACTATGCAGACTCCACGGTCTACTGCACCCCATACGCCCTGTGCTATTTCTGCCCCTGACAGAGACAGTGAGTGCCAGATTTAGGCTAGGCTCAAAGCTGTATGGATGTTTTTGTCAAGTGTCATATAGAGTCTGTGCCTCAAGACTACCCACCACAGACATTCAATGAGGCAGACGGGTACATCTTTTGTGAACCATGACCTTGCTAAGCTTGGAATCATGTGGGTGTTTTTAACACATTTGTGTTAACTTTGGGTGAAGAACCGATTCAGGGGTATTGTTTATTCTGGGGAAGTTCCCTTTCTTTTTGGGTACAATCTGTGGTGAAAACATGTTACCAAAGAATTTGAACTCCTACCTATAAACTTATAAGATATGACCGAGCAACAACCATGTCTTCATCTTTCAAAACATAAAGTATTTATCAGTTAATACATGTACATGTATGTATCTGGCAATAATTCCATTTAAATACGAGAATTGTGAGCAAGATTATATTGTTCATGGCAATACATAATCCTTGCAATAATACATGCCTTGCAAAGGTTGGAATCATGTGGGTGTTTTTAACACATTTGTGTTAACTTTGGGTGAAGGAACGATTCAGGGGTATTGTTTGTTCTGGGGAAGTTCCCTTTCTTTTTGGGTACAATCTGTGGTGAAAACATGTTACCAAAGAATTTGAACTCCTACCTATTAAATCTATCAAATATGACCGAGTGACAACCATGTCTTCATCTTTCAAAACATAAAGTATTTAGTGTACAAGTTCAGTTAATATGTATCTGGCAATAATTCCTTTTAAATACAAGAAATGTGAGCAAGATTATCGTGTTCATAGCAATACATAATCCTTGCAATAATACATTCCATTTCTATGTCATTTTCTGAGGGGAACAATCACTCATATACAATCCCCTTTAAGTGTTCCTTTATATCAAGCTCTTCTTTAGAGTTTACATTTCTACGTTCCTTTTCTTACAAGAAAGTATATATACGCAGCATACTTCCTGTTCAACATTTGAACCCCAATCCCTACCAGTGTGTTATGGTGTTTTTTTTCAGGTTCTACTTTTTCAAATTCTTATTTAGGTTTTGCTTACATTTTCATTGCATGCAATGAATGCCGATGGAAAAAATAATTTCTATTATATGGGGAACAAAACAAAACTTGAATCTTAAATCTTGGGTTGGGGTTAGAATTTCATTTGACATTGTAGAAAGTCACAAACATTTCTTCCTTCTTCTTTTTCCCTTTGGCTAGATTGTTTGAGTTCTGGTGTATACATGTAATAGTTGATCATGTAAAGCACACAAACATGATACCATTGTACATTGTGTATACCGGTACTCATTCACTTAAGCACTCGTGCATAAAAAAATCCCCTTTTCAGTCTTACATGTACAATATGCGTGCACAAAACTCTGGGAGAAAAAAAAAATAAAACAAATAAAACCCAACATTTACCCTTGACTAGAGAACATACATTGCACAATGACTACCGTAGAACCTTTTTTGTCATTCCAAATTGAAGGACGTCTATGTTAACTTGAATGGGCTACTTGTATTTATTCAATGATTCACAGCTTCATGCCAATGATTCCATTCGCAGCCAATCATGGATGGGTGATTTAGGGGGTTTCAAGTGCCACAGAAAAAGTTGCAGCTCACCCACAAAATGGATCCTGAACACATAATAGACATTACTGTCACACACATACCTGTCTCAATACATGTACATGTATAGCAGTTTGGAATGTAGCCATTTTTATTTTGCAGACACGTATACACGTACATGTACATGTATGTATTGTACAGCAATTAATAATAATAATGATACTAGTGCATACTTGTATAGCGCACAGGTCCACCTTTTGGTGCTCATGGAAATTGACATGCGTGTATCAACGATATTTGATCATGGTTTTAATTCTTCAAAGATATGTACTGTACGTACATGAACTGTGTATGTAGAGTTAGGGTGGCAACTGGGGTTTAGGTTAAAGTTCGGGTTAGGGTTCGGGTTAGGGTTAGGGTTAGGGTTAGGGTTAGAGTTAGGATTAGAGTTAGGATTAGAGTTAGGGCTAAGCCTAATTCACAAGGGCAAAGTCTCATATTGGGGCCATGGTTAAATCTAAAGATTTGGTTTGTGTTAAAAATTGACAGCCGAGCATAAAGTGTCGCTGAACTATTAAACTGAGAGCCAGGAGTGCACGTTTCATACATGTACATGTATGTACATGTACATGTATACATGAAATTTTAATGCTCCATACAAATGTTTTATAAATTGTAATGGCCTATCTCCTGTACATGTACATGTAAATTCCTTCTGTGTCTTCCTTTGGTTTCTTTATGATGCAATACTTGCTGCATTTTTATTTCTTTGTGACGTAATTATTCGCAAAAAAATGTATTAGATAATTTTTTCCCTGCCTTAAAGGTAAAGGACCAATATTGGAAATGCCCCAATTTCAAAAAATGAAGTGGAAGCTCTTAGTACCAAATCATGTGAAAGAATATGTTTTGAATAATACATGATACAAATTTTGCCGGGAAACCGCCTACTAATTGATATATTTGGTAAATTAGTTTATCTATTGGTATGTGAGAGATAAAAACGCACGTGTCACGCACGTGTGCGTAGTCCCGTATACATCTTTCTGTGTACAGTGCTTGTAACTTTATGAAGACTGGGCCAAATTTCTTATCATTTTGATGATTCCAGAACCTTGCAGTACATCTATGCTAGATGATCAACCTTTTCTGATCGATTTCACAACGTTTCTTTCACAATGCAATCGCACGACCATAACTGGTCTTTATCTTTGAAGACGTATCATGAAACATTATAAAACAAAATATAATTTAACAAAATGTAAAGACCACATGTACATGTATTATCATCTTTCATGAGAGCTACAAGAATCCAATACTTTAACACAGAGTTTAACACCCTTCCCGCTCTGAACCGACAATAAATTTCAATCAAGCTTCTAAAAGACTGAGTTTTCCGTCCGCTCACTTCATCGCTAGACTGGTTTATATTGGTTTATACTTACGTATTGTTAAGAATCTCCAACTTCTCTCCTTTCTTGAACGAGAGATCGTCTTCTGATCGAGCCTCGTAGTCGTAGAGTGCTATAAACGAGATGACTGTGCGGAAAAAACAAAAATAGGAGTTATAAAAATAAGGTTATAAAATGAATAAATGTCAAAGGAAATCCTAAAAGCAGCAAGTTCAATTTTTTCTTCTCATTTTCAAGGAAAATTTGGAAGACTTCTAACAAGCCTTATGGCTCACTTGGTTATGACGGTGCAAAACAGCAGTGTTTTTTTTTAAATGATTAAGTGTAATACGCTAGTTAAATATTTAGCAGTTAAGATGCTAGTTTTAAAAAAGTTAACTAAAAATAAGATGGCTGTTATTCAATTGCCATTTTTTGTTGAATTAGTTAGTTGTTAAAATTCAGTTGTCAAGAAGTTACCATAATTACAAATCAGAATGTAAAAAAAGGTTGTTTTTTTTCTCTTCTTTGCTTTTATGTAGCTAAATTGAAACACCATCCTACTTTTCTTGTAAACAGATCTCTCTAATTTCAGACAGCTACATATACATGTACATTCTTGAACCAAAAAAAACAGTACACAATGGCTTCCTCAATTCCTTTACTTCCTCTTTCATTCAATCCAAAGAAAAGGTCCATTTACATTGCAGAAAAAAACAATTTAGAAAACCATTGTGTTTTGTTTTTTAACTAGCATTTACATGTAATCTACTGGAAAAAACGTTTTAAAAAACATTGATAATTGCTAATTCTGTTTTGGGGATGAGTTGTGCGCATGCCCCACTTGTCTTGTCAGTGCTCTGCATACTATAGCATGGTAGGGAGGGGAGTCACTTGAACATACCCGGTAAACCGTAATAATTCACAGGTGTTTTGAGAGTGAGCAGTACGTATGTTACACTGCAAAAACCAGTGGAGTTTTGGCCAGCGTTAAAAAAAAAAATACTTCAGACGTGGGTTTTTCGATTCAGGTTTTTTGTCATATTCATGGGGTAGGGTTAGCAAATTCCTACAAATCTCTGGAATGTGAATAAAAATAAAACGGTTTTTGCTTACAGGGTAAATGCCCCTATGGATGTAAATCAATCAAATTGAGCACCAGAAGGAAAATAAATACCCTTCTGGCTCACCTCACAAAAATTCATGCTTTACACTGGAGATTCAAAGTTTTTTTTCTCACAGCAAGTAATATTGAAGTTCAGGGCCCATTTCACAAAACTCGTCATCAGTGACAAATAAAAATTCATGTTGTAAGCTAGTGAAATCCTTGCTTCTGATTGGTTATCAGCAGATTTGTCACTGATTTTTGTCATTTGCCATTGGAGAAAGGGTTTGTGAAACAGGTCCCAGGAAACCAATTTCAAAAGATTTTATGGCCAATTGCCCAGCTGAACAGCAAAACAAAGAAAAGATCGTCAAGAAGGGAAGGAATTTGGCTTTAAAAATTCTCTATTAAATTGATAGTTCCTCTTGTAACAGGATATTTAAACAGATACGTGTTTAAGATTTGGGTCAGGATTCCTATAGATATACAAATGTATTTATGCTCTCCAAAATCTGGATTTCTTGTTTTTCCTAAGCTTAATATTAAGTGGGGGAAAGAACCTTTGTTCATGCGGGGCCTTCACTGCGGAATGCTCTCACTATGAACATGACTGACAAAGAAAGCGGACAAAATATACAGTTCCTCAGGTAGACAAAGGAACATCCCTTTACCGCTATTATGTAAAAATGTGTAGAACAGGTGTCACATGCATATTCACCTTTTTACATAATAGCAGTGAAGGGATGTTCCTTTGTCTACCTGAGGAACTGTATATTTTGTCCGCTTTCTTTATCCGTTATGTTCATAGTGTCTCCCTCCAGAGATTCATGATAGCAGATCAGTTGTAGTGTTTGAAAATAATCTTAAAACATATCTATTTAATAATTTGGCATATAATTAATTTTTCTGTTATTTTTGTACGTTTTTCCTTTACTTCTGTTTGTTTGAAAATAATGCAGATGCTTTAAAAAAAAAAGGTGATCTCTTGTTTATGGTTTCACAAGTGCGCCTTGAGCATTCAATTTCAAGTGGATGTGGCATATTACAAATCTCATATATCGTGTTAGGTTTAAAGGTACTATGTCCCTTTTGCAGCCAACCTCAAATTCTGTAGAACTTTGCAGGAATTATGAATATGTCATGTATGTCCTATCTGTGAAATTTAAACGTTAGCAGTGTCCTCATATTCAAATTATGCAAGGAAACCCGTTTACTTGCTAGACTTCACTGTCAGACACTATTGAGTGACTGACTGGCTTTTTTTCTTCTTTGGTAATAACAATATGAAAAGAGTTGTAAAGGGTACATGAGCATTTGTCTACATCAATAACCCACTTCTTGTGATGGCCAAGATTAAACTGATTGAATCTTTGCGCAGCATAAAACGTATGACCATTCGGTACAATTGTCTGAAAATCAAGACTATTACTTTTGGGCTCTATCGCCCTAAAGTCGATTTGACAACTAATAGTCATTATTTTCCCACTTGAAGACATTTTCAAGCCCTACCTTTTTTAGGGAAGTTCTAAACAAGTATTATCTTTCAAATGCAGTTGGAATTTAACTTTTTCATTTTTGGAGCCTGCAAATGGGACATACAGTAGTACCTTTAAGGTTAGGATAAGGTCAAGTGTTGGGTCTTTGAGTTGAAATCTTGAATTTGGGGAGTTTTAAAAGCTGACCAAGAAGCAATTACATATAGAGGGTGATCTGGTGATCTGTTGTCCCATACACGTTTTTTCCCCTAGTCTTTCATCTAAACTTAAAAATCATTTTCATTTTGATACCAGAAAATAATATTTAAAAGCAATGGTCATATCAACGGATTTTAATTTTATAGAAAGATAACTGGTTAAATGTGTGGTACTGGATATACTGCAGAGAATCGCTGTGGATTTAAATTCTGATTTTTTTTTTTTTTAATTTCTTAACTAGAATAAATTCAGAACATGAAGTATGGAAGACTTGATAAAAACTCACCTTCTTTCTTAGCACTGTGAATTTGCGACGGCTGGATTGCATTTTGAGGGCCTTGGTCAAATGATGGAGTGGCTATGTTTGTGAATGGTTGGTCTGGTCTGCTGCCTCCATTGTTGTAGCCTGTTCCGGGACTGTTGAAGGAGGTGTCAGGTTGTTTTGATCTGTGATCTGATGCTGGGGCATTAGTAGTACTGTGTAAACACCCCATGGTAACTATTTAACGGCTACTCCAAGAACATTCCAAATCTAGATCAAAAAAAGATAAAAAGATTCAAAATATATATTCACAAGTGGTGTCACAGTCGTGTATTTTTAAGGGGGCTCTTTGGAAGAGGCGCGATGGCTCAGTGATAGTACAGTGGCAGAGCTACCAAGTGTCACGCATTATGCGTGACGTCACTTATTTCGAGGGTCTGAATACGCTCTCACACACGGCGTTCGCGTGCGAATTCGAAAAAACGCTATACGTAGGCTATACCCTCGCTCCTCGCCAAGTCATGAAAATGTCACGCATAGCTGATCTTCGAACTTGGCGTCTCTGCAGTGGTCTTGTAATCTTGAGAACTGGTGAGATTAGTACAAGTATCATATCAAAGGCAGCTATATTTACCAAGGGCAACCTCTTCAGTCGTCACACTGCTTTTCCTGAGAGCTTGCAATTATCATTATTATCAATATTATCTGGTTATCCATTTATTAGACCTGGATCCAGAGGGACTGTCGATGAGACTCCTCTACCCAGCTCCTCTGCCTACCTACCTGCCTACCATTGGTCCTCTTCAACTCTCTCGCTCTGTCGGCTCCTCATTGTACAAAAATTATTTCATTTAACTTATCCAATTAAAGCTTTCATGAATGTACACATATTGCATGGGAGTGTGGTTGCAGCTGCTCCACACAGAATTCGCTAAAATCGACCCATGCCATCGTTGCATACATGTGGCTAAAAAATATGACACACTTGTGCCGCTTTGTATACCACATTCAGCGTTGATGTAATCGGGTAAATCGCTACAAGTGGCGCATACGAAGTTTACTAGTCTCCTATTTGCATACACATGTACAATGTACATGTACATGCATGATATAATAGAGGAGGCAATGAGTGGCGCAAGATCTGTAATTGATGACGATTTCAGCCGAAACCTAAATGTATTTTTAAAATCAAATAACCGGGCATCAGACAATAGCGAGAGGGGACATTAGAGGTCTAAATATGATGAGCCGAGTCACAGACTGACATAAATATCTTTGGACAAGTCTAATGTCATTTTGACCTTATTTATGCCCTAGTCCCAAATACCCCGAGATTGCCAGAGTAGGCCTAATTTCCTCGCACAGTTACAAGTAGCTACGACCGCTCAAATTATCACTAGGGACCTAGTTTTGGGTTGATTTTGTTTTGGTCAAGTTGATTAGTTGAAACTAGACGATTTGCAAATGCTAGCGAAACAGGGTGCCACGTAAGTACAGTAGGAAAATCAGCGGCGGTTTCTTCAGTTTTTATACATTATTTAAGCTTGGAATCGGCTGGTAATAACAGAACTAATTAATGATGGTCATTAATGGTATGATTTTGGAGCTTCAAATTTAAAGTAGACACAATCATCTTTATTTTTCTCCCATTTGTTTTTTCCATGTGAAGGATGTTTTTTATAAAGTTTAAGTTTAGTGCGAAATCTGGTATGAATCCGACCTGAAGACAGTCCTTTTTCTCGAAAGCATACATACATGTACACACAGTACATCAATGTAAATTTGTAATTCAAAACAATGTATGTACATGTAGATCTACATGTAGATCTAGTCTATTTTATTTTTATATTTCTTCTTTCTTATAATCTTACTGTCTTAATTTCATAAATGCTCCTCGTAATAGTTCTGCAACTTGATAACTGGCGCAAAATAAGTGTTATATATCATGAGGTCAATACCCTTTACGGCTAAAACCTCACGCATTGCTTTGCAATAGAAGCTATGGCGCCCTACAACTCAAAGCCCACAACCACACCATAACAACATCACCAGGCAGTGCACTCGGCGCCGCGGCCCAATCACTAGCCAACTGCTCGCTTCTCCCACAACACCACAGTAGTCATTCGCACAGCACAGGGGGACACCAGCCACTGTAGCGCACCATCGGCACCACCTCACCTGCATGCACCGCTACCACTTTTTTGGACGCACCCTCGGTTCAACTTCAAAACGTGTCAGAAAACAATATACTAAAACATCTTTCCTACAATAAAGCGAGGTAATATTGGAAAATATTCATCAAGAAACAAATAAAAACTGATACTTACGAGTGTCAATCAGTAAAAGCTCGAAAAAGACAGTTTCACCGTTTATCGAAACCAACCCGGAACAAGGAAGTAAAATTGTTTCAGTGAACACGTCTAGTCTGTGCAGCTGTATGCATACAACGAACTATCATGCGATTCATTCGATGCAAAACTCGATGATCAATCTTCGTTGGAGTAAACAATACAAAAGACACAAGTGCTAAAGCTAAAATGCGTTTTTAATTGGTAACGTACTAAAACAAAAACAAAATGTATAAAACCTTCAAAATATCATTTTAGAGCGAAATATTACACTGGTGTCTATTCAACCCTTCTCTTTTTTGTCACTCTAAATATTTACATGTTTTTGTCTTTGTTGTTGTTGTTGCTTTTAATTTCGATTTCTTAAACTGAAAAACAAAACTACTGATCACCCAACGTAACCAGTAAAACATTTCATTGTAATGTATAATAGCTCATTATTTGAAAATTTCGTCTTGATGCAAAGGGTCTATATATGGCAGGTAGGCAGCCCAAATGTATACCCCCCCCCCCCCCCCCCCAGGCCCAAAAGGAGCCTTCCTCCTATTTCTTCATATTATGCCATAATACAAAGGACATTAAAATGATAGTGATATTATATCATTAAGAAGTCATCTACTCAATGGTAATGTGAGATCACCCCTTGAGGGGGCACTGGAACGCTTGGGGGGGGGCACCAGTTTTAATCAGAAAAAAGTGCGAAATATGGCCCTATCGATTATGGGGTCGTGTGAAAAACAAGATGAAGAACAAGAAGAAGAAGAACAACAACAACAACAACAAGAAACAAGAACAAAAAGAAGAAGGAGACGAAAAGTAGATGATGATGATGAAGAAGAAGCTATAAGAAGAGGACTCGGAGAAGAAAAAGAAAATGAAGAAGAAGAAGAAGGAGAAGAAGAAGAAGAAGAAGAAGAAGAAGAAGAAGAAGAAGAAGAAGAAGAAGGAGAAGGAAAAGGGGAAGAAACAGTCTGTCAGTAAAAGAAAGGATCTAACTGCAGCAGATTTATTTATAGCCCCCCTCGGGTCCAATAATTAGTTCTTACCTAGAGCTAAAGCTAGGGCAGGTCTTTGTAAATCTTTAAACGCAACCATTCTCCCGACACCACCAAGGGAGTGCCCGCTGGCCCTTAGCAAGTCAGAATATAATACCATGGGCGCCAGTATAACTGCAGTAAACATGTCTGACAATTGCATGAAGAGGGCACGGTGCTGGAAAGTCTAAGAGTTCCGATTTATACATGGGTATTTTTTTTCTTTTTATCGGAATTTTCCCATCATTTACTATTATAAAAATTATCTTGTTTTAATAAATTATTATTATCAATTTCAAATTCAATTCAGCCTCTTTCATATGATACCAAATATGATATGATATTGTTAGGCATTAATGAATTTGAAAGGTTTTATGTGAGTGATGTCAAAACAAGTTTGCGCATTTATTTATAGAAGTAACGCACAATGCATAATTACGTGTAAATACAAAGTAAAGAGATAAAGACACAGAGTAATATAAGTAATGTTTTTTTGTTATTCTTTACTCATCTTTCAACATTTATACAACATTGAATCCGAATTGAGTTCATTTTTAGCCCAAGTGGACAGGACAATGGTATTGAAAGAGAAAATTGAAATGAAAGCAGAGTGAGTTTCAATGAATGGATTGTGTTGCTGAACATATCCCTCTCTCATGCCCAAATATATTTTGTAATCTTTCATCACAAAACATGGCATTATGAGACAGGAAAATATTCCCATTTTCGATGTATTACAAATACAATTTCAGTTTCAGAGTTAGTTTCTTTTATTTCACATGAAACAAACGATACAATAACAACACATAGTATATTGACACAAATTGATATTCATGAACAATAACAAATTCTACACAGCATAAGTTTGTATCTGTTGCATTTTCACTAGATAATTTTGAAATTACTTGTGAAAAAAGGAACTTAATAAAAAGGATGAATCTATTGATATTTATTTAACGAGATAGCCTATAGAAAGAGAAAGTTGGATTTCCTTTTTTTTAAAGAAATACATTGCATATAAATCAGATTCTCCATGTAGATAGTGGAAAGTGAATACAACAATATGATTCGGGTTTCGGTTTAGATATAGGTAGATAGATAGTCTAATTATTTTCTCTCATCATAAAAAACTTATAGATAAAATAACATACAGTATCGCATACATATAAACACAAAATAACATATATTACCAAGATAATCATACAATATAATGTACATCATAAAGGTAATCTGGACAAAATATAGAGAAAAGTGAGTATTTATGAGAATGAGGAGACAGCTCAAAAGGAAGTGCCTTATTAGTGCTGCCACCTATATACACAAAAACTGAAACTGAAACTGCAAATTTGAAATTCGGATAAGATGAGAGTATAACTGGACAAGATTGAAAACTTACAGCATAAGAATAAACAAGTTTAGAAAAGATTCTCACATAATTCTTTGAAAATGAGCGTCGATTCATATGTTGCTCAATTTTCTCAGAATTTCTAATTTAGGGATTTGTACACTCTCAGCCATGTCAAATTTGTAAGGGCTCGGTCAGAATGTGGAAAGAGCAGATGCAATCATACGAGATTGCTCACTTTTGTTATGTTAGTCTATACTGATGTCAGCCACATACACGTGCGGAATATTGGATGATTCCAACTGTACAGAATAATCATCCTTGATGAATAGGTAATGAAAGTATTATATAGATAGTGGCTTGACCACCATGAAGGGACGACGATGTTGGACACGATCGCAAAGCCTTGTACAATCAACTTAAAGCGTTTTCAATAGCGTTGTGCCTCACTCATAGAAAAACATGATTTTTATTTATACTATATATTATAGGCAATATTACCAAAGGGTACTCAAAATACCACGAAGTTAATGTTTTAATGTCTTTGCGATGGAGTTTATGAGGAAGATAGATATGAAAGATTTGCACCCTGTTACTAAATTCAACCCGATAACAGTAAACTGATTATTTTTATAATCATGTTTATTTTTCAACCTAAATATTTGACACAATATAGCGGGGATCACAAAAAAGGGATTTTTAGCGGGTATTTTTCGGAGGGTCGAGATTTTTTTAAAAAACTATCGAAGTCAAGTAGCCCCCCCCCCCCTTTGCAGAATGGGTCACAAAAGCCCCCAAAACCTTTCCATACTTTAAATTTTTTTCCCCTACAAGGTAAATCAATTTACCTATAACGTGACTATACCACGATGTAAAAGACGTTCGAGAAATCGACTCCAGGACGGTTTCAATATGTCCCATAGAAATTATGTTAGGATAACGTAATACTAACATAATACGAACATTGTAATGTTCGTACATTTCAATAAGTGACGCCGGAGAAAGCTGCTAAAATTGCCTTTGGGTAAACCTTCGACCTTTTTTTTTCATGACTGTTCCTCGGAGATCTGTTCACACCAACAACTCAGCAGCTTTTGAACCAACTACCATAGCGCCATCTCTTGACGAGTAAGTACTAAGTAAAGATATTTAGTGTGATATAAAAATTAAAAGTAAATAAGATAAAGAGAAGATGTAGTGGGAGAGAGAGAGAGAGAGAGAGAGAGAGAGAGAGAGAGAGAGAGAGAGAGAGAGAGAGAGAGAGAGAGAGAGAGTACAAGGGGAAAGAGAGACATTAGTGCAGGAGGAAAAACAAGTGGGGGGAGGAGTTCATATCCCTGGTCGTATGATGTTTACACCAAGTACATCTCCCTTCCCATCAAAGCTTTTGGGAGTCGACAACTTCAATAAACGACCCCTCCCCATCCGTAATTCATAATTTGAAAGGTCAACCGTAATAAAACATCATTTTAAGAATTGCCCTGATCTGGTAGCTAGAAGTGCTTTCAGAAGGAAGGCAAAGAAGCGCACATTGGAAAGAAAACAAGAAACAGTGAGGACTAATATATAAGATAGGAAAAAAAAAGGAAAAATGAAACAAAGGAAGTTCAGGGGGGGGGGGGGGGGTAAGAGCATTTTTTAAAATTATTATTATTATTATTATTATTATTATTTTTTTTTTGGGGGGGGGGGGGGTGGGTCCTAAAAATTTCGCAACGACTCAAAGGGGGGGGGGGGGGGTAAGGTCAGTTTTGGGGGGTCACCCTTTTGCTCCAAAAAGGAAAAAACTCTTCCTTTGTTTTTTTATTAAAAAAAAAACTGAGGGGGGTTCACCCCCCCCCCCCCCCGCTGCGTACGTGCCTGTAATACATTATAGTATATTGTAAATGATTTGCTTTTTTGAAACTCTTTAGCCAACATGTTGAATTTTTTGGGGGTAAAAAATAACTGTTTGTGTTTATTTTTGGCAGAGAAAGTATCGCATGTCATGGAACCTAATCCCCTTATTCGAAATGTTCTTCTCTTTATTTTTTTTATTTTTTTATTTTTTATTATTTTTTTGGGGGGGGGGGGGGGGGAGATAGGTTACATGTATGGTAATTGTAATTATAAATGATTTGCTTTTTTTTTAAATCTTTGGCCAACATGTTGACATTTTGGGGGGTCAAACATTTAATTTCTTTCACCCACTACCTCTTCCGAGAAACTTTTTGGAGTTTGGTAGTAATAGTAGTAAGATAGGCCTATAAAATGTGATCCTAAATCCTCCGAAACAGGTAAAATAACTTTCAAGCTAGTATATATGGTACAAACGAGATAAACTTCACTTTAAACACCCCCTCCCCCCTTTCCCTGTTCCTTGACCCAATCCCCGATACAGTTCATATTGCAAGCCATATTGCACCTGTCGTGGGAATGTGACACCAATATACCACGTAAAAACAGGCCCCACCCTCTTTATGTACCTCTCATACGAGATTCAACAAACATCAACGGTACCGTAACATGGCCGCGCGATCATCGTCTCAAGTAGTTTACTCATATACGACACGCGCGAACGCACGTACAAGTGTACCAGCCATTTTCGTACGTTCGGCATGTACACAATGGGGTGAAAACCGTTGGAATTCATGCAATTAATTTGCACTTTCTAAGAGTCGTCATTAATAAGTTTCAGTTTGTAAGTATACTTACTATCTTAAGCTAGCACATCATTTATTTGAAATGTTTCATCTATTTCAGGGGAAGCATATCTTTGGAGAAAATTAGCTCTATCTGCGCATACCGGGCACCGGAATTGTGAGTGTGGCCTACCGATGAGAATGGGATATTGGTAGATTGTCGCCCGGAAGTTCAGCGGTGCAGTGGGAGTTGTGGACAGTAGCTTGAGCTGAGCTGTGTGGAGCTAAAATGTTATCGATAGTCTATGAAGTATGAGGCGACAACTGTGCTGCTCGAACTCGAAGACTCTAACTTTTATGTAGACTCTAACAAAAAATCAGTCAGATTGAAAGCATAATTTAATAAATTAAAAGGAATTGAGGTAAATTTAATTCAAGGCCAAGGTAAGGAAAGGAGAAAACTATAATTTTAGAAAGTATAATGAAACATAGACTATAGATTTATTGAAAGATGAGTTTGAATCAATCTGACCTGACATTTTTTTTTAAAGGGAGTGTAGCATGACAAGACTACATGTCTTTTCCGTGACATGGCCTGACTCGGGACCCAAACGAGTATGCGACTACAGACTACGCGCCTTCAGTATTCATGTGTAGTATTCATGTGCGTGCAAAGTGCGTGAAACCAAAGCATGACGAAAACTTTGGTCTGTTTCGCGAACGCTAGCGCGCGCTGACCGTTAATCAAGTCCGTTCGTTTACGTGCAGTTGTCCAAAAGAAGATGTAGATTGCATTAACCAGTATTTGCCATGCTACACCCCCTTTAACATAGTGATAGTCGTAGAATGTCAAAATGTTATGATTGTCCGAAAAGATTACCTCAATTTTGATTCATAACCATTGGTCATGGGTAGTCTTATGTTTATTCTTGGTAGGCCATTTGATATCTCGCCAAGTGTTTCAAATTTTGAATACTCTTTAAATCAAAATTTCACATCTTTAAATTCTGAACATTAGCTTTTTTGGTACATGATGGAGAAATGAAAACAATTCTCTGAAGACCTACCTACAGTACATATCAGGTGCCTTGGCATATTTAATCTTAATTTTCAAGGTGTTTGTTTTTCCATTTGTCTGACTGCTTTAATGTTACCCTCTTCTATTTCAGATTTCAGGATCGAAAGTGTTACAAACTGCAGGGCCTTTGAGCCGTTGTCTTCCTCCCATCGGCTGCTGCAGGTGGCAACCGTCTTGAGACGCATCAATCAAGGGATTACTACTCTCTCCAGCATCGTACATGCGGTACTGTCTGGCCGGATGGTAACACACAGACTCTATAAAAGAGCAGAATTATAGAAGTGATTTTGTCCTGAGGAAATAAAAGAGAATGTCGTCAGCGCCGCCGAAGATGTCTTTAACCCAGCGCTATCAGACGCTGGAAAACAGGATCAAAGATCCAAAGTGTCTCATCAACTATGAAGCACTTTTGGTAAGTCGTTTGCCTTTATGACTACAATGTACATGATTATAATTTGATAATTCACATCTTTATGTCTTAAAGGCAGGCTTTACTACTTCAGCAAGAAGGGATTAGACCACCCAGCGAGCCAGCGAGGTCACTGTGACAGGTGGCTATCTCATTAACTCAGCTCTCATTTAACATAAGAAAAAGAGGATCATGGGGAACCAACAGGCACCGATTGGGGAAGTTTTCTATATAGAGGGAGCAAGTAGCTACAAGTAGGACAGTGGGGCTTTAAAGAGCAATCCAACCCTTGTACTGTACATGTAACTAAAGATTTCATTTGTATGAAAGCAGAAAAATAAGATACAAGAATGGCGAAAGGTTGAAATAAATCGGACCAATGATAAGAAAGTTATGAATGTTTGAAATATGAGATCACTTATTCTATACGAATCTCAAATTGGCTGTTTGGTCAGTGGATTGTGACGTAGTCCTGGATAAATCTCCCGTTTGTCGTGTACGAAAATATTAATTTCTGTATTTCTCCTAAAGGCCTCCTCCCTTGGAACACTACTCAAAATATGTTATGGATAGCACATTAGTATAGGTCCTCTGAACAGAAAGACCTTCCCGAATCATACATTTCTGAAAAAAAAAGGATTTTAAAAAAGGTCATTTTGTGGGTTGGAACAAATGGAAAAGTTGTCCGCTACTTCATTACAGATACTTTACCGATTCGGCCACAATACAATCTTATTTCGATGATTTCAAATGAGAGACTTGTCACTGCAGAGGATTTGATTTATACGCAATTTACACTCATGTACTGTAGATGAGGAAGTGAGTATGTAATCTTTCTGGGTGAGAGATGAAGGGAGATAGTGCACATACTGTACATGTAAGAGTGCTCTACAAGCATATCATATGAGTACTGGGGTGTGAGATGTGTGTCGGAGAGAGAAAGAAACAAATTAATCCTCAACCGTACAAACCACTTTGTACATACATGTACAAACCCTGGGTCAAAGGTTACATGTACAGGTGTACATGTAGTTCAACACTGTTCACTGAGCTGTAGCAAATATTGTCATGTGTCATGCCCTGACCTACATCAGACACTTGTTTATGCCACTTTTGAAATACGGGTAAATATTACTTTGTGTAAATATGTTTTCCTCTGACCTGTACCCATTCCAAAATTTAAAAATTCAAGATTTCGCCACCTTTTCATTTTATGTGTTATTTGATTTGAGAAAAATAATCTGCCCTGGTTTATTTCATGTCTGTTGTGAAAATATAAGCTGCAGCATTACTGTGTACCTTTATCTTTGGCCTTGGAATCTTGGATAACGTACATGTAGCAATAATATGGCTGATGCCCTGTGGCAATTGACTATGGATTCCTTTGAATCAGACATAAACAGCGATACTTTGGGTCGGTTTCCATCAATAAAAGGTCCCCTGAAATGAAAGAATGAGTTCTATTCAGAGGCTGTGCTCGTGCTTTCACTGTACCATGTATACTACATGTACAGTGCATTCGATTGGCATTTGGATTTTAAGAGTGTATTTTTAAGTGGCTTACAGATGTACACTGTACGTGTGGTCCATTCTGAAGACTCCAGTTACTGTAGGCCTGCTCATGTATTTCAGAATTGGAACACATTTCCTGCTCCTTTACACAATGTTCATGCTGATTCACCAAAGTCTCATGAAACAAAATCACAATTATATCACAGGTGAGGTGACACATCACTAGCTTCTTACAATTTGTTCAATTTTCTGGTCATGGAATGGCCATCCTTAACAATTTCCAAGATTTTCTAGTTTTACAGTACTGGCAATAGATTTTAACTCTGAGGAGTGAGGAGGTGCAAAATATTGCAAAAAATACTCTGCCGTTTGAGGTTTTACTAGTCTGCAGGCACATACTCTAATTTGACACTTTACCACAATACCTACAGCCTTGAGCAGAGCCTACAGGTAGCTCTGTCAGTCTGGTAAGATGGCATTTTGAAAAGGGTGGGGGTAAATGCGAAGTACACATGTGCATACGTGAGGTGATATTTGAACGCGCACGTGCACGTAAACACAAGTACGTACGTTTAGTTTTAGTTTATAGGCATTTTTCATTCACAACTTGCTAGGCCGTCGTCTCTTTCCAAAATTATTAATTTATTGAATTTTCTCTAAAAAAAAAAGTTATAGGATCTAAAAAGAAAAAAAGAGGAAGGAAAGAGGATGGAAAGAGAAAGAATCCTAAAAATAGTCATTTATGACATGAAATTGTACATATGTATAAATAATTCATAAAATAGTGTGTGGCAAAAATAGTCAACTGTGACTGATTGCCAAACAAAAACAAATCAAGAAGAAGAAGAAGAAGTCTGTAGCAGCTTTAAGTACAGAGCCTATGCAGCGTACTCTAGACTAGTCTCACAGTGCAGACACTGTTCTGCACGCAGTGACTGGCAATGGTACAGGTGTACAAATATGTATGTGCCTGCAAACCCGTTACAGCTTATTTGTTCTCTTGTCATATCGGAGTGGCTTAGCCCCACAGAGTGAAGTGTGATATGTGTGACAGGGCAGAGTCTGACATCAAATCATACAAATATGCCTTGTTTCTAGGTGTATTGGAAACAGGGGCGCAGTCTACAAATTCAGACACTTGTACAATGTAGGCTAATGTTTCGCAACAGTCGCTTTTCGTAAAACCAATAACCTACATGTACATATTTGTATGTACATTAAATGTTCCTGAACTTGTTGAGTGGTAAAGAATAGCTTAAGTTTTATGTCGTTAAAGAATTGGATTACATCTGATGCAACGCTGAATTTTAGGGATTTCTGGCTTTTGGCTTTTTGCACAAACTTTTGCCATGAAAATCATTTGCAATTTGTACCATTCGCGAAACTCTCTGGTAGTACAGTTATACAGACTTGTACATCTACATGTACATGTTGTATGCCACAAACTGGTACTGCATGGTACAGTTAAACCAAGAAACAGCTACAAGACAATGATATACATGTAGACTTCACATTTCATCACTGTAGTCTCATCTTTTATTCTTAAAACACATACATGTATATTGGTCACAGATACTGGTACATGTAAAGTTTAGAATGGCTTCTCAAGGTCTGCTGTTGAAGACTATCATCATGGTATGCAGGCACTATAGTAGGGCTCTGTACCAGAAGACATGTCACCGTTATTGACCTCGGAGGTAGAGGTCACGCTAAGGAAGAAGGTCTTGTGGTACTGTACTTGTAGCCCCCTTTGCTGCTTGTTAAGTTGCCACTTCAATTCACGTACTTCATAATTCAGGACTTTGATCTTAACAGTATTGATTATCAGGAAATCATAACAATACACCAAAGTGACAGATATAATTCCAGATCCATTATTTCTTATCTGCATTACTTCAGATTTAAGACTTCAATAGTTAAGTTATTCAGCATTTACACACTGTACTGTACAGTTAATAACTATTAAATTATTCATACAAACTGTACCCTTCCAAGTTATGATATTTTTCAAGTATGACAAAAATTGATTTGTCTCAATTTAATTTTTCTTGAAAATGTGACATACTGTATTAAGCTTACATCTTCAAGTATTCAAAAAGGCCCCTATTCTACCGGTCCATCTTTTATTCCTGAGCTAAGAGAAACACATAAAACATCAGATTTACAAGGGGTATATGTATGAATTATTTAGTTTTTAACTGTACATGTAGGGCCTACATTGTACATGTATACATGTACATGTACATGTACATCTGTAGTGTAGGCTAATAGTAATAGAGCATACTGTCACAGCTGTATACTTTTTCCTACAAGCAACATGCTTGGGAACCGAAATGGTGTTCATGCAAAGGATATTATCCAGTGTACATGTAATTCTAAACAAACCAGTAGAAGGACATGAAATATCACCTACTACCTGCAGAAAAGAAATATTAGAGAGAGAGAGGGAGAGAGAGAGAGAGAGAGAGAGAGAGGGAGGGAGAGGGAGAGAGAGGGAGAGGGAGAGGGAGAGCGGGATAGAGTCTGTCATGCGACAAATATGCAGCCTGAACAGGACTTACAGACTTGGCATTGTTTGTGTGCAGTACGTGCAGCCAGTCTCGGGGAATAATTGTCATACCAATTTGATTCTTACGCAAAATGCATTAAATGGAGAATGATATGTTCTTTCTTCATCATCATCGCTAATGAGCTAAAGTAAACAAACAATACGAGGAATATTTATGAGGATCCTTTGTAGTCATTCATATTTCAAAATCACAATTTAGGCACCGGCTACATTTACTGTCATATCACATTGCAAGTTGTCCAAATTGTGGGGAAGAATACAAAGTACAATACATAGCAATATTTCTACTCTAAAATTTAGGCTGAAATGTAATTTATGACCTGTAAATGCAGTTTAGTAGAACAAAGTGGTTACCCACATGTGATTTCAACACATTACATGGTCACTATCGTATCACATTGAGTTGTCTGTTTACAAAGGGTTGTGTGGGTGTGTAGTATTAATTTTTAGGCCTACACACATGTACATGCAGGCCTGCATTCTATATATTTGTTCCAGGAATCCAGGTACATATATTTTATACTTTGTTTGGAAATGAAGACTTTGTAGATTTTTAATTAGTTCTGAGGCCCAGTAATATTAGAAGCCGTTTTTTGTTAACCTGTGCAGACTGAAGTTTACAGAAACAGGAAATACCATGTACTGTATAAAGTACACGTACCACACTCATAGTCAACAGAATCTGAATCATTTCTCATAGCCTTTCATGCATACCCTATACACTATTGCACCCGGACGGTGGTCTTCTCGAGCTACCTAACCTGTACATGTGTATATAATGTTTTTGGTCTTTTCTTCAAGGTCATGTGCAGTGAGGTGTTGAGTAAATATGAATTCACTATGGATAATTGTCACATTTTTAACCAAGTAGCAAGTGAGATTTGATTTTGCACGCCATGTTTTATTAGAATAGGCAGGGCAT